AAAAGATCAATAAAAATATATAGGTATAATTACACACAGTTAATACATTTTTTTACATTTTAATACATTTTACAATATTATTTGATACAGTTAGAAATTAGATTAGTCTATGTTTAATACTTTCTAAATATAGAAAAAAACTTAAGTATCTATTTTAATTAAACGTGACAGTCTATTTAACAAAAAAATATACAACGTATAAATATATTATTATGTGTATTGTGTATAAAGCAATATAGATTGAAGCTCTTAATTTTAGGTACTCCTTTTAAGATTAGATCTAATTAAAGATTACATACCTGGGTAACCTTTAATTAGGTAAATAATAACTATTAATTTATTTAATACTTTCTAAGATTTACGCGAATATTTGACGTCTTAAATAAAACTATCTTGGTCTCTCCCGAGACCATAATTGTTGTAAAGTGTAAAGCATTCAAAACGTCGGGAACCAAAAATCACAATAAATCTGGGAAAAAATCCTAAAAGATAGTTTTTTTTTAAATTCATTTACTGTATAATGATCAAGTAATTTTTCTTACATATTTATGTTTACGCTTTGCCTATTTGTATTTATTAATTATAATTTAAAAGATTTTGGTTTTTAATTGCACGATTCAAGTGATTGAAAAGTTTAGGCTATGGCTAGATTTTGTGTACATTTTAGTAATTTAGTTACATTCTCATATTAATGAAATATTTTTTTAGTCCAAGTAAATATATGATAAAAACTCGTCAATATATTTCTCCTTTGTTGCGTAAAAAAATAGTAACTACCTACTAAACGTACTTTCGTATTTATTAGGAACATATACATACATACATAAGGATTATTATGTTTATTTTGGAATATTTTTATAACTGTGCTGGTTATATAACTAAGTAATAGGTAGTTTTAATTATTAAAGTTACCGTTTTATAGTAGGTATACTTGTAATTACCTGAGAAAAAATCGTTTTTCGAAAATGTTCAACTCTAAGCGAAACAAAGGTCTGCTACTTCTATTAAAAAAAAAAAACGATAAGTATAAAAAGAAAAAAAAAAGTATTTTGCCGCTTCAGTTACGGCTTGCTAGAAGGCCACCCTGTCAAGTTACACAAAACTGTCATAAATTTGAACGATTGCTTTTGAATTCAGCTTATTATTAGTATTTTACACTTCGTGATATTACTTCCTTGTGTATCATGGCTGTGGGTATATGTAGGTCTATCTTATCAACATTTTGTATCCAATATAATGTATCGAAACAATAATCATCGTAGAGCAGTTTGACATATCTGATTACCTATCTACTAATCTAGATGTAATAGGCTGAATTTTCAATAATATTTCCAGTCCAGTTAAAGTTAATTATAATCATTAAAATAGTAAGAATTATTATTAAGCTTCTTGCTTTGCTGTTAACTAGCCATATGAAAATATCAAGAGTTAAAAAACGTGATACCTAAATACCGAAAATCCGTAAACAAAGAAAAAATTGCAATGTGTGAATCCATTACATAGCTAGGTACTAGATTTAAAAAATTTTTTGACTTTTTTTGTAATTATTTATTTAATCGACTTCAAAACGAGGAATTACGAATACTGCTCAATTCGGTTGAAGATATTTTTTATGCGTATGTTACCCGATATATTACCTAATAATCTATACATATAATAAAATTGTAACTAAGTCGAATCTGTACATTAAATATTTTTTGGAAAATCTATTTAAAATAAACATTTTTATCTATACAGAGTCCGGATCTATAGTTTTTAGAATATTTGTCTGTCTGTCTGTTACCGCATTACAAGAAAACTACATGACAGATTTTGATGAAATTTGGTATGATGATAGCTAGTTATCCGGGTCAACATACAGGATACTTTTTACCGCGGGAAAATATCTCATTTCTGAGAAAAAATACAAAAACTGCATTGTATTAGTATACTAATATGTAAAACCTAAGAATTTGGTTTTTGGTCATCTGAACGCGGTCGGAGCCGCGGGCAATGCTAGTACATTATAAAATAAACCACCCCTAATCGTGGAGTAATTACATTTAAGTCGGTGTACCTTTTTGGTTAAAAAGTATTAATTGTTTTTAATAATGATGTAGTTAGCAGATTCTCATCTAAGACGAAACCTTCTATGACTCATAGGTTAGAAATATTATAAACAAATTATAAAAAGTTAATACGAGAATTAATAGGGTGGCGGTCCTGTACTTCGGTCTTTTGTGTTGATGTCAAGCAAGTCGCGTATCGTGTCGCTCAGTGACGGATTACCAACTGTTAGCCGCTTACGCGTATAATGTACGCCTTTTGTATAACTGCCTTGAGGGAGCCGACTATTTACTTCAAATAAAAAATAGATTTTTAGCTTTAAATATTCCTTGATTAGTGTAAATATACATATTATAATATGGTAAATGTGGCAAATTAGATTTTTACTAGGTAGCAAATTAGGTGCCAATATTAAATTAACGTACTTCGAAAGAATAATGAATTAAAAAAAACTTGTATAATGTAATGGAGGGTGGACTCAATTTTCCGAACATAAACTCTAATTTAGTTCTAGAGGTCTAAAAAAGACTTGTATATGTATAAATCTTATTAAACAGATTGTCTAGAATTAAGATCAATAGCATGTGTTGGAACTTATTATATCACATAGCCGACGGTTTTGCTTCCAATGTACGATTATACACTTAGGTATACAGTCGTAATCTATAGGTACATATAATAAAATTGAAACTAAGCCGAATCTGTACATTAGATATTTTTTGGAAAATCTTATTGAAACAAACATTATTATCGATACAGAGGCCGAATCTACAGTTTTTAGAATTTTTGTCTGTCTGTCTGTCTGTTACCGCATCACGGAAAAACCACTAGACGGTTTTGATATAATTTGGTATGATAATAGCTGGTTATCCGGGTCAACAAATAGAATACTTTTGCCGCGGGAAAATATCTCATTTCTGAGAAAAATACAAATACTGCATTGTAAGAGTATACTTATATGTAAAACATAAGAATTTGGTTTTTGGTCATTAGAACGCGGGCGGAGCCGCGGGCAATGCTAGTACATAATATTCCATCTTAATTCTATTATTCTTTACTTACTTTATATTGATAAGTTACGATTTTATAGACTTAAAAAAAACGATCGTATTTTTATACGAATATAAATATTAATTTTGCTTAAAGCGATTTATAAGGATAATCTTAGCAACTTTACCTCTGATGTATCATATACTTCATGTTAATACAACTGTGAAGGATGGTTTTCTGCAAGGCAAATCATCAAATCAAAAAATCAATCATCATGGAAAGCATGAATTATGTTTCTATATAATTATGGAAAACTATAAAACTATAATAATAATAATAATTGCTTTTGATTTAGACGGCAAAATAATATCATATTTACATAACTGATAGATACTATGTTAGGCTACACGTGACCGAGAACTGTAAGTTACTTCAAACACCGCGTCGGCTATAGAACTAAGCTTTTTTGAGTCTGAAAAATAAAATCTGTTAAGTAGTTATATTTAAAGTACCCGCCAAAAAATTGGGAGTACTTGAGTAATTTGGTATTGCTGTTTAATCAAATATCAATTAAAAACAAGTTTCTTTGAAGATGGCAATGGAATGAATACAAGAAAAAAATACGCAGTTTATTTCGATTGCTCTTGTTAAATGTTTCTTGATTGGGCCACTACCGTGCCAGTCATCCAGGCATCTCGGCGGCGATCACAAATTACAAACAAAAAGCTAGGAGCGCCGTAATCTGACATCACATCACGTTCGATCAACGACTGATCATGATTTACGAACACATCGAACGGTGATAGGTGATCTTTTACCATTTCGATTGTCGATAGCCGAATTCGTTACTATGAAACGATCAATTTATAGAATTTGAACAAAGAAATCCTTTTTTGTAAGATTTTTATTTCAATTGTATGTACATATTATATATACTGACTCCTAATGAATAATGATTGATCGCTAGGTATATGGAATCAGCTACTTATAAACTTTACAATACATACCTGCTTTTAATTCAATATTCTCGTTAATGAATTATCAGATTACGGAATAATATAGACAGAAATAGTGACATAGAAGTAAACATGAAGCCAAACTATAATGTTTTAAAATAGTATACAAAAATTAATAGAATACTTATTACTGTGATAAGTAAATTAATCTGAATAAATAAAAATTGCTAGGTAATTTTATTATAATAAAGAAAAAAAAATAATTAAATAAATTACTACTATGTTAACTTAAAAAATACAAAATAATTCATTATTATTTTTATTATTTAAATTTTCTTCTCAAAAATTGAAAATTAACGATTAATATATAAATTTTACTTTATTCTTCGAAGAACGCAAGCGATCCGTATAACCAAATCGTGAATGGTAGCATAAACAGCAAATCACGCTACAATTTTTTACTTTGACATTGTTTGTGGCGGATTCCTTCTATATAATTCTTTAGTCAATACTTTAGAGAGAATACTTTATTTCGGATCCTTTTTATAATTATATTATCTATGTATATTAAGCTTGCTCTATAAAACCTTAAGGTTTGATTTAAAATGTTAAAGTATTAATTTGTATATAATTTTTAAATAAGTGTGAGATACGAGTCGAAGGGCTCACGTCAGCCCATCTGTCCGATTAGTATCACCTCTACTCCGAGGGTCACGGACAAACATCTCGTTTTTCAAATTGAAATCTTTTCGTTATGCCATGTTAAAAATGTAGCTGACGTAAAAGGTCACTGGATTAAAGTTTGACTCATAGCGCCCCAACAAACTAAGGGTAGGATCGCGTGTTTTAAATATCAATCCAAATGATAGCCAGCACTCAACGATATCAATGTTCCATTATCGTCCAATACAAATAGACATGCTAACATTTGTTTAATTGGTTATAAAAACAATGCTCCCTCTCCATCAACTGCGACGATAAGTTTTGATTCTTAGATATGTTAATCTAAATTAAAAGCGGGTCTGTTACAAAACGTTGAGCATTAGCCGCGGCCCTAGAGACTCCATTAGGAGTAATAAAATGCCTATCATTATCGAGGGCCGAAAAGTCGATGCACGCGATGCAATTACTTGATTGGCGGTGTTCTGGCCGACTCTGCCTGAGCTGTGATTGATGTCGAACATAATTAGAAAACACTTCAGCATGTGTCTTCATTGGTGCAATCTTAATTGTGGCCAGCACTTACCTCGCTGACTCAAACAGCACGTGCCAGCCGCGCCGCAATCATCTTTGATTTGATTTGTATAGATAGCAAGAAAATTGAATTCTTCATTTTTATAATACAAATGTAAAACTTTTCTAAAAATCTTTAAAGGAGTATTAATGTAATGTACAATGTTAAATGTCATACTATGTTTTTAGTTTTATTATTTACAACTAAGTATATAGATAATTAGTACATAGTAGGTATATATTATGTCATATCTAACTATTCAAACTGTAAGTTATTTACTAATTTACTATTATTACTATTTTAAAAGTTTTCAAATTAAAGTTTAAAACTGATTTTTAAAATGTGAACTAGTCTTTAAATAAATTTTCACTCAATATGTACAAAATAAAATAACAATGGAATACATAAGAATCAAACGTTTATTAAATAAGCAGTTACATTGTATTGTTATTTTGTGAAACATTTATATTTTTGTTTTAATTTTGATTTAAAACAATGAAAAATCGTGCTCTAAAAATCTGTTTAAAATTCTATTTAATTCAGCTGAAACATAAATTATTATTCTATTCTATGATATTAATAACTAAACAAAATTAAATAAACTTCTATTCTCAGCTTATAAATAAAATATAGATATATTAATAGTAAGTTTCTTGTTCCACCCATTTCGAAAAGCTACGTCTAATTAAAAATCTTCGAAATTCATCAGCAACAATCATAAGCACGAAGAACGGTGTTGCAAGTAGAAAGTCATTCCAAGCTATGGCTTCTGTACCAAAAACTTCATGACACAACGGAAGATATGTAACAGTCAAAGCTGCAATTAAATCGACTATAATACTTAAATTTAACACTTGATTTTTCATTCCTTTTTGAAGTATTGAGATTCGTCGTGTTTTACAAATTATAACATCTGAAATCTGAGTCCAGCAAACAGCGACAAAATAAGCTGTTTGAGCTCGTCTCTCAACTCTCTTTCTATCAGCGTAAAACCAAAGACGACCGAGTGTATCCTTGACAGCGGTGGATGACGATTCCCATTCTTTACGAACGAAAATTAAACTGGACGGGAAAAATCCACTTTTTGCAAAAACTATAAAATACGCATACATCCCTGCGAAAAATTGTATAAGGCCTATTTGAAAATATGCCATAAAAATAAGTATCCTATTAACAAGATGATCGGTTGGTTTCCGTGGAGGGATTGACATTATATCATCCTCTGATGTTTCATATGCGAGGCTCATTGCAGGTAATAGGTCTGTACCAACATTTATTACTAATATTAAAATTAAAGTCATTGGTAAGGGCATGCCGAAACAGGCATATAACACAAATGGTAACATTTCCGGTGTATTTGAAGTTAATGTGTATGCAATTGTTTTTTTCAAATTATCAAAAATACGTCTCCCTTCTTGTATCCCTAGAACTATAGATGCAAAATTGTCGTCTAGTAAAATCATATCAGCAGCTTGCTTTGAAACTTCAGTGCCTGTTATTCCCATAGCAATACCAATATCTGCTTTTTTTAAAGCTGGAGAATCGTTAACACCATCACCGGTCACTGCAACCACATGATGTAGAGATTGATAAGTTTCTACAATCATTAGTTTTTGCTGTGGACTTGTCCTAGCAAAGGTTATTTCTTCGTATTTTTGTTGGGCAATTTTTAAATCATTAACACTCATTTTTCTCAGTTCATCGCCAGTAATGACGGCAGCACGAAATTGTTGTTTTAGGTGAGATGGGACATCTGAAAGATCTATATGATGTTCAAAAGCATAGTCATATGCAGTTGGTTGAGTGATAGTACCACATTTTCGTGAGATAGCTAAAGCTGTAACAGGATGATCCCCAGTTACCATAATAACTCTAATACCTGCTTGACGGCAGAGTGTAATTGATTTTTCGATATCACGCCTTGGAGGATCAATCATAGAAATTGCACCCAAAAATCTTAAATTTTCCAGTGGAAAATTTCTTTGTTGAGTATCAAATGTGTATCCTATCGGATAATTCATCAAAGGCAAATGATAATCACAGTAACCAATCACACGTTCGCCCATGTTAGCTAGTTTGATAAAATTTGCTTTAAGTTCTTTTTTTGCTTCTGGAGTCATAGGTTGGTCTTCTTCATTAGTTAGTATTTTTGTACAGAATTCTAAAACAATTTCTGGGGCACCTTTCATTATCAAATAATAACTCTGCGTAGCTTGCAGTTTATGTATGGTTACTTGATATTTATATGCAGAACTAAAAGGTATTTCGGCTTCTTTCGGATTCTCTTCACGTGTTTTGGTAGCAGATCGATTGATTTCCATATACCTTAAAATCGCTGATTCTGATGCATCACCAATAATTTTTTGTTTTTCAATGGGTAGATCAAGTGTCTCATTAGAAAATGTAGCTTTTAAATTTAGGGATGCTGCTAAGCTTAAAGCAGCATATGCGTGATCAGAAACGTGTGCATGGTCGGTTTTGTCATATATTGTATAGTTACAAAATAAATGCGAAACATTCATCTGATTTTCTGTGAGAGTTCCTGTTTTGTCAGAACAAATACAAGATGTAGAGCCCAAAGTTTCTACAGCTTGTAAAGTTTTAGCGAGGCATTTTTTTCTTTTTAATTGATTTGCGGATAACGTCATACAAACAGTTAATGTAACAATTAAACCTTCTGGTACATTCGCTAAAATAATTCCCAACATATATTGTAAAGCTGATAACCAGCTGTGTTGAATAAAATATACCATCAAGAAAAATATAAAGCCGAATGTAAATGCTACTCCGCAAATGAGTTTTATGAAATGGGTTATTTCTTTTGCTATAGGTGTTTCTTCTTTTTCTAACCCAGTAACTAAACCTGCTATTTTTCCCATTTGTGTTAGCTCTCCTGTAGCTATTACAATACCTTTTGCGGTGCCTTCTGTTACAGGACAACCAAAAAATACCATATTTTTCGATTCTAGCGGGTTTGCATTAGTACATTCTACTCTGTGTTTTATTTGCTCAGACTCCCCAGTTAATGACGACATATCTGTTTTAAAATTATTACATGATAAAATTCTTACATCAGCGGGTATTATTTGACCTCCTGCCATTTCAACTATATCTCCTATTACTAGGTCAGTGTTAGGTATTATTTTCCTGACTCCATCTCGAATAACAGTGGCATTTGGTGGTACCATTTTTTCGAAACCACTCATTACTGCCATATTTTTTGCTTCTTGGTAGAATCCAAATAAACCTGTGCCAACAATAGTAGCCGTAATTACACAACCTAGATACAAATATTCTTTTCCTGAATGCCCAGAACTATCGTTGCCAGAGTCAATTTGTTCTGAAAAGAAAAACCCAATAAAGTTTAAAATAGCACCACACCAAAGCACACATTGAAACCAGCCAAATAAATTATGGCGAAATATCTTCCAATAACTATTTCCACGAAGTTCTTTTAGTTGATTTGGCCCATAATGTTCAAGTAATTCTTTTGCAACATTTTCAGTAAGCCCTGTATTTATGTTAGATCGATAGACAACTTCTAATTGAGCAGGTGAGAGAAAGTGATCACCAGTATGGGGTTCTTCTTTTAAAAGTGTAAGTTCAGACATTTCTGGATTTACATGTTGAGCACTTAATCTCCGTACAGTCACTATTGCAGTACTAGAACGACGACGCGATTGATGAGGCATTTTTATTTATTTTGGTAAACTTATATAATTTTTTGCAGAAATTAGATAAAACGACAGCTGTGTTGTTTGCCTATTTATGACTTTAATATTTCTTGATTTTTTAGCACAAATCTTTTATTTATATTATAAAGTGAAGTTTCTAGTGCTCATTAATATTTACGTCTATTCATTTTCTATCAAATTTTATAGACGTCATACGTTTTATTCATTTTGATATCATTTATTTGGAGTAAAGAGTTTGTTTTTATAGTTGTCAAATTATTCTGATAGAGTAATACCTAATAGACCAGGGTAGAAGCCTTTAAAAATAATAAAAAGTGAAAAATAATAATAGTAGGATGCAACCCATTAGAAAAGGAGGGGAATATTATAAAAATGAAAGGAAAAATAATTTACGGGCGATCTGAGGTCGGGAAGGGGGTGAGGGGGGGTTTTTAAGGGTAAAAAACGGTTTTTCTCGATTTCCGGCAAAACTAAAAGTCCTATCGAAAGAAATCAAATGGCAAAGTTGTAGGTAATAAAAAGATCTAAAACTTTTGTATTTACACTTTTTTCACATAACCTCAAAATTTATGTGAAAAATTCAAAAAACCAACTTTTTGGTTTTTTATTTTTATCTTTTACAAAAATGTTTTCGTTTTAACGAAATTTGATGAAAACTTGCCTTTTTATGTCCCAAATACGCTGTAATTTACTTGATTAAAAATATTTGACATTTATTTCTTTAATATTTTTTTCATGGAGGTATACTCACGATAAAATAGTGAAGGCATTATTAATTCGATTTTGTCTTTTCAGATTATCAGTATGGATGAATCTGTTTGTATCATCTGCAATAAGGCAGATGATAAGCAAGTGTATGAAATAAAAAAGGTTTTTTGGTTTTGCATTTTCTCAGAAGATTTACTATAGTAAAATATATATTTTTTTTCACCATCGGAAAGTAGAGATTTCAACGAACAGAAAACATACCAATTTTTTGAAAAAAGCTGATATTTTGACGGGTGAATTTTCGATTGAAAATGAGTAAAAAAATAAATATTGGAATGGGTTGCTAGTATCTAAAAATAATATATGATAAGGCCTAATGTTCTATTTGTAATAGGTACATTTATAATATTATTTTGTACATTAACACTAAAAGTGCAAGAAATATTGAAAGTTAATTAATTTTTTGATAAGTACAATATTTAGCCATTTCAAACGTTACTTGGGTACTTTTAATACTTTGTGTGTTGCTTTGCAAATGATACAAACCATCACGCGGAGAATGAGCGTCTGATAGCAGCCGACATCTCGCAGATTTATAGCCGCAGTGCCGATATGGCGGCTATTTCCGGACAATATTGATATTTTCGACTCACTGCACCTATCAACTTCCAACGCGTTAAAGCACTTTACAAAGTGAAATAACTAAAATGAATAACAATCAATCTTTTAAATGGGATCCAAAATTGTACTTTAAACGTTTCTTTGAATCTTAATAAGGACTTTGTCTGGAAAATGCAGCTGCAGTTCAGAGATTTTCCTAACGTTGTCGCATAAGATTCGTATGGCGGTTTAGCGTCCGTCTTGAGCCGCCGGCCCGCAAGTAATCAACCTATTAATAAGAGGATCAAGTGTAATGCGACCAATTAAAACGGCGACTCCCATCTTAAGACGCCCGCAGTTTTTGGGCTCGTTCCAGCAGGATTAAGATTACTTTGGCGACACTACAGTATTAACTGTAAGTGAATTTTGAAAGTGAGAAATGTAATCCTTTTCAGAATATAAAAATAAATTTACTTTCTAATTTAAGTCTCATATTAACCAAGATTGTGTAGGTACAGTAAGTAGTTTATATTTTTATTAAATTATAGTTGATAAACGATTGTCACGAATTGCATTATAATGAAATTTTATGCTAAATTGAACTATTAATATTCAATTGAATAAAAAGCTTGTCGTAATTTTAGCTGTAGGCAAGGGTTATGTATAGACCGTGACCGCGTTGACAGCGCGGCAAGAGTGTTCAAGCGGCGTCTTTGTCGGTCTGAATCTTTGATCGGTGCGCGGGCGCCGGTAGCAAGGGCTTCGAGTGCCAGTTTACGACCACTGACGCGTTTTATTACTCTTCTGCCAGCTTCAATCAATAAGCGTGAATAGCTATCAGCCTACCCACGCGATGCTAACAGCACCGGAGCGAATTTGCGCATATTGATTACCCTCAATTTCGATGTTCTGATTACTAGTAGGTAGGTACAGACAAACTATATAACTATATTTTTATCTAAGTGCTTTATGGTTATTATTTATGAAAATGTTTAATTTTAGCTGCCAATTTTATTTCTCCAATACATATTAGATTAATTTTTCTCAATATCTTTGAAATTTTTTTTACAAAAGTAAATACCTATTTATAATTATATAAGCTGACGTAAACTATTATAGTGTTAATGTATAACACAAATTTTCTTTATTTTTTCAATATAAAAACAAATTAATTTAATTAAAATTTTGCGTTAATTTTAATATCAGAGGACACAGGATAATTCTACATAAATAATAGGTATCGTCTGTCGCTTTGTTAACATGTGAGTAATAAAATACTAGATTATTAAGTCATTTAAACTATTACATGCTAACCGGTCGAGAGTAATGCGTTCGTAGTCATTAAGGAAGTGTATCGTTTACGATGTAACGAGACTACCGCGAATCCTCGGTACAAAAACCTTATTTCATCAACACTCTGGGAGCGTGCACAACGCGGCGGTAATTAGTTTTGATTGCGAGCTGAGATTTAAGATAAGATATTTTTTAAACTGTTCAGTTTATATAAGAATCCCAATATACGAGTATGTAGTTAATATGAGTTTCAGGAGAATAATTACAATTTAATTTTATATAATGGTCCATATTAACATAGTGATAGGGATTTTGATTTAGTTTGATTCTGTTATAACAATGCGTATAAATTTTTACTTACAATATAGATTATTAATAGTTCAAGTTGGCTATCAAAAAGCAGTAAAAACGTATCAATATTTATTTAATATTATATATAGGTAAGTAATGCTTAATTAGTATTGAAGATACATATTTTATTTAAAATCGCACAAAAAAAATGATAATTTACTTTTTTGCTTGCCTAGAAATATGTAGATATTACAATTATTACATATTACGGTTTTAACTTTTAAATAATAATAGCCTTATTATTTTATGAATTTATGCTCACAAATATTAATTAGTAATCATATAGGTATACACATTTATCGTTGTTTAGATTTCACAGAGATGATATATTTTCCCACACTAAAAAGTATAAAACTGTAAAGTATACGTTGACCACCCATAACCAGCTATCATTATGCCAAATTTCATCAAAATCTGTGATGCTGGTTTTATCGCGATGGCTTCCCAGTCAGATAGACAGACAGACAGACAAAAAATCTAAAAACGATGGATTTGGCCTATGTATCGGTAATAATAACTATTTCAATAAGATTTTCCAAAAAATATTTAATGTAGGTACACATTCAACTCAGAATTTTATTTTATTATTATACTAGTTTAATTTTTTGAGCGAAACCCTAATTCTTTTTCTAAAATAAAAGTAGAGTAACATCAGCTATCTTCCAAACAGACAAAAATTAAAAAAAATGTGTTTTTAACTACTGTATATATTTTCATTTTTAACTACTGTATATATTTTCATATTATGCATTTAGGAAAACGCTGTTATTTGGATATTACAAACAGACACTTCAATTTTATTTATATGTATAGATTTTTCTCTATATTAAAACTTTCCGTGTACCTTAAGGAACATACGAAAAAAAAATTAGTTGCATTGGTCGAGCTGTTCTCGAGTTTTGCGCTTAGCAACATTCGTTTTTATTTATACAGATATATTATACATATATGTACTATGCTAATATGTAATAATATTATTAGATTAAAGTCAATAATGAAGTTATATGATAAAAGTAACATAAAACATATTAAAAAGTATAACATTTTTCACATTACCATTGAGTGGAAGCCATCAACAGTTTTATTTATCGATCATGTGTTATATTACCTTTATAAAAAACAAACTCTATAGAGATTACATCATTAAAAGTGATAGTAATTTTATAGATAAAATATTGTACAGATGTGATTATCCTATAAGAGAGGAAGGGATGCAAAAAATATAAACCAAGTAACTAGTAAGATTTTGTAGAGTCAGCAAAATATCTATGTAATGCTTACAAAGTGAATTGCCTACCTTTACGGTATTTTCAAAATCTATAAATTCGAGATAAATATTTCTTCATACTAAGGCATTAAAAACATTGCCTTAGTATAAAAAATCATCTTAATTTATTATTAATATACACATTTCATATTTATGTTGCCAATTATATTTCGAATATTCTTTAGATTTCATTAATTATTGATAGTTTAAAATACCCATAAGTATATGTAATAGGAATCCACAAAAGTTATAATTTACTAGCGACTAATCCTCGCTTCGCTCGGGTTCGTCCCTAGGTTGCTTCCCAAAATAAACTTTCAACCTTAAGGGTAGATTTCCGGGATATTTCCTTCCCAGGGTCTCAAACTATCTTCTTACCAAATTTTTATCTCCAGAGAGAAAATCTCACAAACTCACAAACTTACCTCTTTATAATATTAGTATAGATAGATAAAAAGTAAACTTTTCTGTCTGTACCGTGGGATGGTAATGTTGCAAAGAAGCAGGTTAACAGCTAAAGGTGCTTTAAACTGCAATTTAATATAATCGAACCACCTCCTCACAAACAGCCGTTTTAACTACGAGTATAAAAGTAAATGTAGGGATTAAAAAAGTTTTTATTTGTAGACGATAAATAAATTATTAAAAAAATCGGTCATGTGCGAGTGTCGAATTTGCACACGAAGGGTTCCGTACCATGCATGCACTTTTTATCAATATGACTTTTACTTTATATATTGATATAAACCTACATAAATTGATAAATAAATATAACAATCAATGATCAATTACGAACGTTAAGAAAAATGTTTCTTGTATTTTTATTTTTATTTATTTGTTATTATAGCGGCAATAGAAATACATACTCTGTGTTCAACTCTCTACCTATTACGGGTCATGAGATACAGCCCTCCTGCACACGGACGGACGGACGGACAGCGGAGGCTTGGCGTATATATATATATATATATATATATATATATATATATATATATATATATATATATATAATAGGATTCCGTTGGCACTCGTCGGGTACGAAACCCTAATAAAAATGACATAGTAAATAAACCCACAGTAAATAGCTATCAAGATGAGTGTAAACATGCCTACGTAGATGGGCATAAGTTACTTCATCCTTAAAAAGCTAAGATAGCTGAGAGTAAGTACTCTTAAACTAATCTTTAACGGTGCCGCCAAATATTGCTCTCAGCTCTTAGTGGGCCAGGAATAGATGTTTATATAAAAACTACATATGGTTTTCTGTCTGAGGCATGATTGCCTGCACTTCAACGTTATTTTATGATTTTTATCATACTTAGTATATGGAAGCTAAAATTTTCACCTTATATATAATTAATTATTTTATGCATATAGGTTACATTGTAATTTACTGCTCAAAATAGTTGGAATATCTTAGTCGCTATTATGAATACGCAGCAGGTCATAAAACAAGTCAAAATAACATCTGTTTGGGAAACATCTCTCTTCACTAGAACGGTTGATGATCACTATTGTCACCAATTAACTGAGCGCAAAAAATTCGACCACCAATGTGGAAACACCTTGGCTAATGTGCGAGCTGACAAACTGAGGTGGTAGAAAAAGTTGAGCCCAGCCGCAGGGTGCAAGTTTCGCGTGCTAATGACGGGTGACAAGTCCAAACAGACCTCCGAAGGCGAAAACGACACAAGGCGATTCCTATATTTATTTTATGACTAATGACATAGCTATAATTACGGGGAAGAAAACTTCGGTTAGGTACTTGATTGGTTTAGCCTTTAATTTAAAACTATTAAATTATTATTAACACAAACTTATTAAGTAATATGTTACTAATGGTCAAGTTATTTATGGAAAAAGGGAAAAATGCAGATTTAAAAAAATATTGTACAACATATCTTTAGTAGGTTTGTATGATATTAAATATTTTTTCTATTTGTTCCAAAAGTGCTTTTTTTATTAGTTTTTTTTATTATTATTTCTTCTACGCTGTCATTTTTAATTAACTATTAATTACTATAGAACATGATCATTAAAATTAAAATATTATATACATTGCTACCTAATTAAAGCTTAGCAATAGGTAGGTACCTACCTACTGTACAATATAGCAAGTGCCAGCTTATACGAATTATTCTTTTTAAATGACTTTTAAATATCTTTACGAAGAAAGATCTCCACAAATCAATCTTGTTTATATTGAGCCACCAAATAACTGTCAAAACACAACAATAAACTTTGTATAACAAACGATAGTCCTTTAACTATAAAAGCAATTGAAAATGCCTTAAGATATACATGAATAATATAATACGTATTGTTACGTTGCGATATTAAGAGTTAAAACGAAATGCACTGATGTTGCACCTGGTAAAGATCATGCTGAGATAAGAATCGAATGTTCATTTACACATCTTTATCATACATATAAAAGAAAATAGAATAATATGTTATACCTAATTAACCAATATAATCTATAGGTACATATAATAAAATTGTAACTAAGCCGAATCTGTACATTAGATATTTTTTGGAAAATCTTAATGAAATAAATATTATTATCGATACAGAGGCCGAATCTATAGTTTTTAGAATTTTTGTCTGTCTGCCTGTCTGTCAAGGATTTGGATGAAATTAGGCATGGTGATAGCTGGTTATCCGGGTCAATATATAGGTTACATTTTACCGCGGGAAAATATCTCATTTCTGAGAAAAAATACAAAAACAGTAATGTAAGAGTATATTAATATGTAAAACCTAAGAATTTAGTTTTTGATCATCTAAACGCGTGCGGAGCCGCGGGCAATGCTAGTTAATTACTAATAGAAAAACGCGAATAAAATGTAATATGTCATTTCATATCATTGAAAATGAGACCATAATTCATATTCTTGAAAACGCGACTTAGTAATAAGTACTATTTGTGTTTAAACTAAAGCAAGTATGGAATGCGAGTCGTGTGGAGTGAAGGCAGCGACTGAACTGGCTAGATATGTCTTCGTCAGAATTTACATAAATGATATATTTGACCCGCCTAATACTGTATACTGGTCATTTATTAATCTGAAAGAGGCTGTGGTACGCTCGCACAGCCGCATAGCGCGCGTGCCGGTGTGCATGCGCCGACAGCGTCTCGGACGGCGGACCACACTGCAGCGAGCCATGCCAGCCGCAGCCATGAGAACATACCGTTCTAGGTCAACTCTGTTGACGTATGTTAATCATCTGACCGATCATTATCTTAAAGACTGATAACTGCGTTTACCTTGTATTGCGAGACACGAGAGCGAGAACTAGTTGAGTTAAAGTTGGACTTTCACATTGCAGAACTATCGCTTAATGTAATAAAACCACTAACAATATTAAATATCATGTTTACTTTACAATTTGTAGCATTTATTTAATATAGTAGGTAATATTGTTAATATTACTGAAACTTTTATAACAAAACTTTTTACGTAACCTTTAATAAATCAGTTTTTTTGCACAAAAATATTTTAAATTCACGATGTGTCCACGTGTACACATCTCGCATCGTGTGGCCGACGGCCATTGCGGGTGGTCCGCTTGTGCTGTACAATGAAGGCGTTACTTCGTTTCACACCTCTAAGCCCACCAAATTAAAAAAATACTACTATGGAATTAATAGTTACATTTATAAAGAAAATAATTCAATTCAAATGCTGTTTGTAGATAATTAAAAATCATCAAATTGCAATTAACGTTTAAGTATTTTAATTGTCATAAAATAATTTTATCTGTCATTAGTGAAAGATCTAAATCTTCATTGCTGAATTGAAGAAAAACAAATCCATGATTTGAAATGACCATCAGATGGGTGATAATTACTATCATGAAGCGTTATAATTATTTTTTTACTATTAGTAATAATGGAAGTTCCGGGTTATGAAAGTTTTTGTTGGATATAATCAAGCCGTAATCAGCGGTTTGGCTAGAGCGTGTGAGGTACTGTGGGTAGCTCAATGTGAGCAAATTATTGCTTTAGTAGATCCGTTCCCAGTAGTTTCGTGTCAGTTTATAAAAGTTGAATAAAGACATTAGAGCGATCTTCATATTGCGTGCGTAGCTGATTCTAATTTGAGTCATAATCTTAAAACATTTTGGTAACAATTGATAAAGATAAGTATGTATTATAAACGATCAAGATATTTTTATCTTTTTATACTTAATTTCTGTACTAAATAAGTTTTTACACGTTACAATCCTACTTACTATATAAAAAACTAATGATCTTTTCCGTCTTCAGAAACAATTTGTATTGGTTTACGAGATGTCATAAATCACAGAAGAGTGTCTTGTTTTCGGAAGAACATCGAATTGCTGAAATATTTGGTATTACCTCTGTCAACCCAACATTTTTTGTTAAGAAGTTTTTTGTTTGTTACTGCCACTGCTGGCGCTAATGAGACTGTCGAGTCGAATTTAGGACATTTATTTAAATTCAAAGTTCAAAGCTTTTTAATTGAAAGCTTTGAATATACTCGTAATTAAATATTCTAAATTATGTCAAAAAACGAAGAACAAACATCACCTTATGTAGATAAAACAATTTTTTAACACAATATAAGTTCACATGTAGGTACGTAAATATATTAGGCAAAAAGAAAAGCAAAAAATATTTGCAAAATAAGGAAGATGAGTAAGTCAACTTGTAAATAAATTTTGATAGCATGCGGCGGGATTGGGAAGATATAATCGCAAAACCCACTATTTCCATCGGTGCCGGCCATATTTTTGTCAATTTTTCGTCTGACATATCCCATTTCCCATTCAGAAAAACACGGAGTAGACATGAAGTTGGAAAACAAGGAAATGAAAAAAGAAAGTCTCGGTCGAACGACAGATAATCGTGTTAGGCGGCCGCACCGGCGAATAACTGATGTGAGCCGTTCGGTGCACCGACCCAATGAGATTGCGGTGTTTTTTCCACTGAGACTCTGTGGAGACAAACAAGGGATGCAAATTCGTGTTGACACCGCGATCCATCTTGTTCGTCTCTCCTGAGACCAGTTCCGAACAAATAGAGTCGTGATTGAGTCTCCTGAAGCTTTATTTAGAAATACCTAATTCTGTAGAGCTTTTTGCTATGAACATTAATTAAACTATACCTATTTGGATCGTTATATAATACATTGCAGTAGAAGATTTCGTGAATGGCAATAACTATGTGTGAGGTCAGTGAGTACTATACGGCAACAGTTTAGCTTCGCTTAATCTTGGAAACAAAACTGCGGTGTGTCGTAAAACAGGAGCAGTGCGACAGGACGGGGGCGGCGGCGGGCTGTGCAAACTGTGACCTTCTCGAATGAAGGACGGCTTGCGCTTCGCTGCACACCGCAGACTAACACGTAACAGCTAAATGTAACAATTTCTTATAATTTCTTAAAACTTTAACAAAAAATAAGTAAAAAACTTTTTTATAATAAGTTATAATATCTGTGTTCTATATACATTATCATATTTGTGAAGATAAAACGTTTTATACTTATAAACATAATGTTTGTAAAATTGTTTATTAAATAAGTAATAGTATAGGTATGTGAAACATTTTGTTATAGAATACATTAAATATATACCAATATTGCTATTATTTCTTAATTACATTTAATTATTATCTAACAAAGCCTGAGAATAATTTTTGATTACGAAACATTAATGCTACCTATTATAGCAATCATAAGATGACAAATCTAAGGCTACGTGTACCTCTGTGAAATTGTTCTCTGCGGTAAGTGTGCAGTGAATAGATCATCCGCCGGATCGCCGTACCGCGTGCTACTGTCCAATAAATATATTGTTTCGCGCAGAGCCAGCGCAGATAAAGCAAGCTCGCGCCTCTCTCTGCTCCGGTGCCTCCGTATGGTCTTAGTGGTAGCAAATTAATCTGCCAAAATTTAAATATTAACTGTAACTTATAAATAATTATACCTAATATTAGATTGTTAATCAAATATTTATTTAGTTAATGATGGTATATTGACTAGAAGAAAATAATAAATTTTACTTTCCAGATCTAGTTAATTGACGAACATTTGAAATTAAACATTGTAAATAATATAGTTAGGTACAAAATTTTAAAATAGATACATGTTTAACATTAAGGATAACAGGTATAAAATAATATTGTTAAAACGCATCTACGTTAGAATTTTATTAAAATAAATATTATATCTGTAAATAGAGTTTTCTTTAAAGGATTTATAATGAATAAATAAAAAAAATGTAGGTACTCTATGTAAAAAAAATGTAGGTATTCGTGACGCTTTCACACAGACTCAACCGCATTAGTATCGTGGAACAGTGTCAGCCAAACGCGGAGAGCTTGGCGTTTGCACATTATGACTATGTGGACGCTGTTCTATTAGAACATTGCCTCAAAATTCTTACTTTTAAAAAAATATTTTTAAAGACTAGATTTGAAAGAGTAATAATTTATCTACATCCAATTATTTTAAAAATATACTTAATAATTATACAGTTGTACAGAAAAAAATAATCTACTTATTATTTTATCTATTAAAAAAAAATCGCGGCAAATAATGCATCATTTTTGGATGACTGGATATTATATATTTTCGAATTTAATTTCACAATATATTTAATGTTAATACATTGTTAAATTGCGTTAAAATTTCTGCAGTTTCTTTTTTTGGTAAGTAATTTACTCTAACAACTTTATTATATTGATATTATTATATTGAGTTTCGTAAAATTTTGAATAAGTTATTACTATAGGTACTTGAAGGACGTACCGTACCGTCTGTAAAGATTAATATAGAACTGGAGTCAGCCAAAAAAATTGTTAAAGTCAGAAATAAGATGTTGCATGTAGATCGTTTAATTTCTTTCGTGAATAAGGGAAATTTCTTTATTAATCGCTCATTTACAATTTTTGAGAAGAAAATCTGAATAATAATGAATAATACAAATAATAATAAGTAATATCGAATACTATATTCTTATTTATTTTTTAATCATTAGCTACTTCTCTTTCCCTTGAAGAGAGATAACATAAGGGTTTTTTCTTTGTAGTATAAAGTCCGTTAGCTCTTTTTATTTAATGAGTATTTTTTTAATAATAATAATGTTTATTTTTATTATTCTTTATATTTTTGTAATAAAAAAAGTTTACTTTTAATATTATGTGACATTTTAAATTATTTATTAAAAAAAAATTTAAAAAGATGTAAATAAATTCAAAGATTATAATTAGATGATTATAATTTACAAAAACCATTAAAATATATATATTTATGTGAGAAAATTATATCAAAACCTGGTAACTCTACTCACTTTAAATGTCTCAAAATTCCCAGAAACTCACACACTGATTTTTTTTTAAATAAATAAATATGTTTGGACATTAAGACACAGCGCCATCTAGTTCCATGGTAAGCTACGAGGCTTGTGTTATGGATACCAGATAGTTGATACACTACACATATATAACTTTAAATACATACATATTATAAATATAAACACCCATGACTAGAGTACAAACATTCGTGCTTATCACACAAATGAATGCCCCCCAGCGGGACTCGAACCCGCGACCGCTGGCACAGCAAGTAGGGTCACTACAAACTGAGCCAAACATGTCGTCATTTTACATTGACATTTTTATTTAACTTCCTGTTTAGTCCTATGACACTCCATCTACCTATATTATTCCTCAGTCTGAGTAGTAAGATTACTGGCAGACTGGATTGCGTCTGTTAACGCAAGCCATTATAGAAAAAAAAGATTACACAATATACAAAATATAGTTATTATGTATATGTACTATATGTTTTTTTAAATTTAGTCAGATTATGTCAATTTCAGGTGCGACTTAATTGACTAAAGATAATTTTTTTCCTACCAAAGCTACGATTATGATTTTTTTGAATTTATTTTGATTGTTTATTATTAATAACAACAAACTATTATTAAAAGAGCTTAAAAACGCTATATTATATTCGTTGTTTCTAGAATATTTCATAAAATATTTGCCACTTAGGTAACGGAAATTACTTTTCTCTACATTTTAACTCTGACTTTCGCAAACAAAGGAGCTAAAATAAAAAGAATATAGCCGCCACGATTTAGCAAGTCCCTGGAGTGTTGTCCGTCTGCCACACACCGAATTGTCACCCAGCACAGGGGATTCACACGGTAAGCATGTATGCCTAAAACAAATTGACTTTTCTCTTTATTTATCGTGTTCTTATATAGTTGGAATGCTTATAAGTTAGCTGCGCTACACATTTTTATAGGCAATTTAAAAAAAATAACAAAATTGTTTGGGGATGGAAGCTTTGCATTAAATATTAGGTTGAAAATATTTAAAAGACTTCAGATAAATAGAAGAAGCTTCTATAGTTTTGGACAACAAACATCTCGAGTCTGACTATGATATGGATGGCTTAGAAAATTACAACATAAGTTACTTTTAAATAATACAGACTAAGACAATTTTAATGCAGAATTTTCATATGTGCCCTTTCTATAGAAATAGGGGTATAAAACTTCTAAATTAATCCTAGTAGGCTAGTAGTAGATTTAAATAGAGTCCAGTTTTAAAATACTCTAATAAAAGAGAAACAATCGTTGTCCAACAATAAATTTTACCATAAACTATAGTTTATAATGAAGTTTAAATATTTCTAATTTCACCATAACAGAATTCCACACAACTGGAACTCACTCATTTATATATATATATATATATATATATATATATATATTATATATATAAAAAAAGTTAAAGTTAGGGCAATAAAATATGTTAATCGTACCGACCTAACTTTAAAGATTAGGTACATAGTTAACATAAAACATTGAAAATATCTTATACATACGAAAAAAAAGAAAAAAAAGTGGTGTCCAAATAGTCCCCTTGTTGGGGCTCCTTAAGCACTAAGTTTCAATTGAAGGAAAACTTCTTACTTTGCATGTTAGATGGTCAAGTTCCCCAAAACAAATCTCAAATCCGACATTCGTCTCATCATAGTTGTATCGGTTTACACCTTCATTGAGGAAAGGCAAAGCTCACCGTTACAAAAATCAGGTCAGATAATTTTTGGCGATGTAACAATCGATGAAATCTGAACCTGGGGTGTCGTTCTTAAAGACCTGATCCAGCTTGCCTTATTTATCCAGGTATTTTTTCCACACATTTAGAATTTCTGCCTTTTTCGAGGGGAATCGCATCAACAGCCAGAGTTTCAGAAATCAGTTGCTCCTCAGACTGACTTTAAAACGGTTGGATGTCCAATGAGTCTGGCGTTCCTTCGAAGCATCTTTCGATCTATATTGCCTAAAGCACTTTAAAAGTTTCAGCGGCCTTTTTCTTTAACAATTTCTGCATTCTTAGCTTTATCAAAGTTTTCCGCTTTGTAATTCATGTAGGATTTTGTGCCTGTAGTCTTTTGATACGTGCACACCATTTTTAGGCACTGATTATCTACCTCTAACAACAAGCAACAGCACGCCAATAAACAAAACATAACCTAACCTCGATTTCGTGACACAGGAATGAACACGTCTGCGTTGTGTTCAAGTAGCTCTGGGGTGTCCAAGTAGCCCCACTTTACCGTAATAGTTATTTTTAAATAAAAAGATGTTAAGTAAAACTTAACAAAACAGATATTTACATTACTTAATAAAAAATATTTTTTGAAACTGTTCATTAATTTTAAAAAATCTAGGTATATAAAATATATATGTAGGAACAAAATATATCTTATATTTTTATTTTTTATATTTAACATTCAGAGGAAAAAATAATGTAAGAATTATTATAATACAATATTTGCCTATAGAAATGATTACTTATGTTTATAAATAAACAAATAGGACGTGTGTGTGTTGCATTCAAATCACGTATATCAAAGTCTGCTCTGGTGTGGGTAGTTAATATCCGGCCACAATATCCGATGGCTGATACATATGGGCTATAGGAGTTCTTAGACTAAATTTGATTTAGTTGTTTCAATATCGTGTTGGTACTTAAATTTCATTGCCTCAATGGAGGTAAAGGGGAATATCTTTCTTTGTGATTTTATTCCAAGCTGTAGGATTAGATGACTTCGTATTTTTACAGATAGAATATTATTTTGGCTTCTATAATATCTATAGGTACCTAGTCTACATATATTTAAAAATAGTTTTATAAGTAGGTAAAATGTTATTTTTGAAAAATTATAAATAATTAAACACAGTAGGTAATTTTATTTCTAATAAATTTCAATTTGGAATTGAAATCTAAGTGATGAATATAGTAAGCTGCTTATGATTAGTTATTCACCATCTAATTTTCTTCTTAGGTACCTACAGGTAGGTAGGTACCTACCTGCTTTGTATAGCTTAGGTACAAACTTGTAAGTATGTACTAATTGTTTGAGTCATGGTTACATATAAACAAAATTATTTTTCTATGTATTATCACTTGTAAACTTTTTAGGAAATCATTAGTTACCTACTGCAGGTAAAATAATAATTATTATACCTAATTATTTATGGACAAAAATATTTTATTCTATTTGTAGATCCTTTCCTCTTAATATGTTGGTAACTTGTATTATATTATTTTGTATATTTTAACAATTAATATTGCCTAGGTATTAAAAAAAAATAGTTTTTTTTAAATACAATATAAACTGGCTAACTAAAGTCATTTTTACCCTTAAAAACCTAGATATTACAATAGAAGCGATGATATCGTGAAGGGTTCCAAGTTCCAACAAAAAACTACACTACCAGAATGCTTATTACACTACTTAGCAAGACCCTCACTCCAACACAGCTTGCATTCTATGCACTTAAATTGTCATATCAATTTTGACATCTACAGTTAACAATATAAAGTATTATTTTGCTCGCACCACCCTCGACCCGCCTCCAAGGGGCGTCGCTCCCCCCTCCGAGTAGCATCGAGTGCGTTCACACAACTTGCTTACTTTTAAATTTTAATCACAACTCGGCCGTTGATTTGTACAAAAAGTGGAATGGACGTGTCCAGTGACAAGTTAAAAGCATCGCATCACAAGGGGTTTGCCTCGTTTTAAATGCTAAATAAGATTTTGAGAGTACTTTTTTTATTACAGCGTTAATTACCTTATTGGTATTTACTTCATTTAGTTTTTCAAAGTGTTAAGGCAATATAACTTTTACGTGTAACTAATATAGTTATACTTAGAAGTTACTCATGTACCTAGTAACAATAACACCTTTTACAAACTTTAAATTAAAAGTTTAGTGTAGGTACCTACCTACATAAAAAAAGAATGTTATCAATTTGCATCTTTAGTCTTATTTACATTTTTCTTATCATATATTTTTTCTACATAAGCACAGTTATAAGTTTAAAAGACGTCTATAAGTTTTAACTATTTTCTAACTAAGTAGGTAGGTAAACACTTAATACCTACTCGTCACTAGTTTTTAGATATAAAGATATTTAAACACTATAACAGTTATTTCCTACAAATGTTTAATACAATCGAGATATGGAGTTAAACGAAACTTTACACGACTAAATATTTACTGATAAATTTTAAAGATCACATGTTCTGAATCAATCGAAAAAAATCTTGGGAAAGCTTTTGTAACTTACCTATTAACTAACATGTTATTTTACCCAAGTTTATTATTAAAATAATTTTTTTTTCGGGAATTAAGTATATTTTTTCCACGATGCTCTTCGTAATAAGTAATTAATCAAATAACAAAAAAATGAAATTATCTGTAAATATTTTTAAAATAAGGAGATTTCAAAAACCAAAACGCATTTAAAGTGATGTAGGTACGTATGTCCTAAATTTATTATAAACATTACATTTTTATCGATATTCCTTTTTAAGATTTACCAAAGCCTTAACTATCACCACATTTTCACACTTTTACATCGTATTTCGACGAATATATGAAAGATAATTGTTTTTTTTTTAGATTTTATCTATAATGAGAGTATAACTTAATTTAGGGAATAAATAGTAATTTAAGGAATAAAGAAGAAGGGGTTGTGTAGAAAGAAACTTAGTATAATTAATTTGATTTGTTGTAATTTGTAAAGGTGAACGTTTGAAGGATCATTACCAACTCCGTTCATAACTTTCGATAACAGTTTATTGCGAAGCGACATGGTTAGTTTGAACCCTCACGTAGTAAATTAATATTAAGCATTCAAAGCAAAAGTTGACCAATTTTACGCAAATTTCATTTAGTGCCATAATGTGCGCGTAATTTAATTGAATTATTCTTTTATGTCATTACCTATCATAGAAATTATTTTTCACCCTATCTACCTACCTATTACGTAAATATAAACGTTTAAAAATTATAAGCATAGTTGTGACATTGCTCTTATTTTATTCTAATTTAGTAACTTTACTTTATATCTTAAGATTTCACTTATCAAACTAGATTAAAATCAATTTTGACACAGACATTTTTTTAACTTAAAGGCTAAGAATCTAAATCACTTTCAGAGATTTAAAATAATTCTATGTAGGTAGGTACCTACTCAGAAAAAAGACGTAGGTATGTGTGTATATACTTCTTCGGCGTAACAGAACAAAAATAGCTAAAGATTTCATCTTGTATGTCACAAGTCTCCGTTTGTATAAGGAATGAAAGATAAATTAATAAAAATAAATATAAGTATTTTTTTTATCTTCATTGATATAAAACACGTGTTATAAATTTATGAACATTTGAGAAACTATTTTGAATATAGTTATGAGCTTTCACGGGAACCGGAGAGACAGTCAGATCAGCTAACTTCATTATGTCGCTTTTTGGCTGTCGGTGGGCGTGCGCATCGTAAAAATTATACTCTCATAATTATTTCCAAACGTGTCAAAAGAGGTAAGTATAACTTCAAAAATCTAACCTTTATCATATTTTGTTTTTGATTTTCAGCGAATCAATTGAAATCGACTGCCGTCATTAAGATCTTTAAATGGAAAAATAGTGATGTGCGCGAGTAACGCAAATAAGTACTTTGAGAGAATTGGTTCACTGTTTAACGAGAACCTTTTCAGTGCCGCGGTGAGCCATTTAGCGAATTTCAATAGTTATCGCGCGGAGAAAAACTCGCTAGACGACAGGGACGAGACACGAAGAGCGCGACTAGTGCGAGCGAGACGAACGTAATAAGAAAGAAGTAATAAAAAAGCAGTTGTGTGCGTGGTCGGAGTGTGGTGGCATAGGGCGGGCAGGCCCCTCCCTGCGGCTCGTCGCCGCCTCGCCGCCTCACTGCCGCCTCAGTCGGGTTCACAACGCGCGGAGTTACACCGGTCCGCTCTTTTTCCTTCCTTTCCGCGCGTAAAAAGTTTTCCCACTTATACGAAACTTCTAACCGTGGTGACAACACACTCAAACTTATTTCTAAGAATAAGTTATATGAGATAACGTTTAACGACGATATTTAGACAGTTGTGCAGAATTAAAGTGATTTTCTAAACTTATTTTCGACTTTGGAAATTAACAGAAGATTTATTTTGACAATTTTGATAAATATTAAGTAATAATAGTACGACAAAGGTACAAAAGTGGTTAAAAGATTACATTTATCTCTACGAAGACTATGATCTGTGCCATCGATGGGATGTACAGTCGGTGAGGTGTGGGGCCGCAGGTTCTCGGAAGCCGTGAGCTTGATGCTGCTACAGGGCGAGGGCCGGGGGCCTGCCATGGAGGAGGAGTGCTCAGCTCGGCCCTGTGCCACAGACTTCTCCATCGCCGCGATCATGGCCAGGGACCGCCAGGAGCGCAGAGAGCGTCGCAGACACAGAGACCCCAGAGAAGACACGCTTACACCATTAGGTGATTTTTTTTTTCATTTTTATGAGTTCTTTATTCTATATAAAATATAAAATATTTTCAAATGATTTAGAATTATTAAAGGAATATATCATAATCTAAAATGTTATTCAATAAATACCTAATATGATAAATGGCTTGCACTTGAAAGTGGAGGTGCACTTATCTATAACCTATGTACAAATAAAGCTACACTAATATTATGTACATTGCAGAATGCATGTAGTAAATGTATGATAAGTACTGTGGTAGGTACCTACATCATAATTACCGAACGAAAATTATGAAAAATGCAAGCTACGCTCAGATTTTCTTATATATTATTTATAAATATTTATATCTATAAATATCCGCTTTAGATAGGCGACATACAATTACATATATAATATAAGAAATAAACTCTTCTTGCATTGTCTATACTTGCCTCTAGTGCCTACCTAACCTGTGAGTAATATAGGAAATATTGTACTGATAAATTATAGTCTAATAAGAAAAAAAAAATGATAAACATATAAAAGATTTTTTGCATTTGCATTCCTATTGACTTAGGTATATGTAGTAAATTTTATTAACTTATATGAAATTAATAACTAATGAATGCATTTTATGTAGGCTATGTATACACCGCAAAATTTCCTATTCAAATGTTATGCAAAAAAAATTGACAACCCTTGAATATAGTGTATTCGAGCGCTGTCAATTCTTTCGCAAAATTTTGATTAATTGCACTATACCGTAAATGTTTTCTTGGTGGCTTGAATAAGGGACATTGTAGGTACTCGTATATATGTACAATGTGCCTCATTCAATATAATATTATAAAAGAATAAATTTCTAGATGTGATAATTATTTGTGCATTAAATTTTAGTTGCAACAATTTAAGGCAAAGCCGCGGCTATTATTGATATTTTACATATATTTTAGATTACAATATGTATAGTATATTTATTGGTAAATTCGTAGAACAATCGCTCCCAAAAAACGATGAAACGGATGATGTTATGCAAAGAGCAGGTTGTATTTAGTTTTTAGATATTTGATAGATTAATATTTTATACTAGCGATTCACCCTCGCTTCGTTTGGGTTTGTCCCTAGGTTGATACCCCATGCAAAATTTCATCTCCATTTTTCGTAAATTTTCTAAGTTTCTCCGCAATTTTCTTAATTTTTTTAATGTAAGAACCTTCTACGAAGTATTAGAAAACATTTAAAAAAAGATGAATGATATCGGTTAAGCCGTTCTCAAGTTATAGCGTGACCAGGAGAAATAGGGGTTCATTTTTATACCTGTATATAGATAGGTGTTCAAAAAACTGATCAAGTTAAAATTATAAGAAGTATTAAATTACCAATGTGTGTGCGTAATCGTTAAATTATGAGCAAATATAATTTATCAGCCGTCTCCATGTTTACATAAAACGGAATTAGCAAGATTAAAGTTTTAGGTAGGTATACCTATTACTAATCGAGACTAAAAAAGTTTAAATACTAAGAACTTTTTATTCTCGATCAGTAGTAAGAGATTCTTAATAAAAAAACGTATACCTACGAGGTATATTTACATTTTAGTTAATATATAGTTATCAACACGAGTTAAAACATTTTTTTATGAATCTATCATATTTTACTGCTAAATAATAATTCCATAAATACTGGTTTTTATATAAGTATTTATATCGTTTCATAGTGTTATTACCTTAATTATACAAAATATTTTTCCAATTAAAGATACACACTGATTTTAATGACATTCACTGAGAAATAAACACAGTTTTAAGCGTGATAACTGTACTTAAAGAGTTTCGTGTTTGAAATTTTAAACTAAATAACCAATGTCTCTACATTGGTTATTTGGTTTAAAATCCTCATTAGCTAACTTCTATTATATATTTTTTATTACTTAATTATTATATGTAAATGAAGAAATTAATATAAAGAAATAAAACATACCTACATTATGTATCGAGAAAATTAAAATATAATAAAACTAACTAATATTAATAAAAATGAAACAAATAATTCATATTCAATAATTAATATAATCAAATTCTTGTTGCTTGGACCATAAAATATTCTATTATAGAATAAAGTTATCTTATTTTACTTTATTTCTAATACCGTAGATGCTCTAGGAATGTTCATGGAGTGGTGTAGTGATGGAATTATAGATCGATCGATCAGTTAAATATCCAGTTGGAAGCTTAATAAATGAAATCGTCTTGACAACCTTAGAATAAATAATATTATTAACTGGTTTCTCTTAGCTTCCAATTAATTTACATTTTTCATTAACACCTCCAGGTAAATTTCTGAGAAATTAATTAAATTTCTAAGAAATCTATTGTTAACTGTAACGCCGGCGTGTCCGCGGTCGTGGAGGGATTAAAAATAATATCATTAGGTACCTGTGTTGTATAAAATTAAAAGAAAGTATTGAGTTAAGAATATATTATTTGTAATTTTATATATTATCGTCAGATTACTTTATTTAAATACAAAGATTTTAAGACGATTTCTATAGTAGAGTCGAAAAAGATTAACTATGTACTAACATGCCTCAATATCAATATCATCTACATATATACATTATACTTCGCACAGAAATAAAAATACTTATCAATACTTTTTCTTTATTAAAAAAAACACAATATTGTTTCATATAATAAATTACAGTTTATCAGAAGATTTAAATTGATTAAATAACGACAGACGAATTAAAACTGATCAATAATTTATTAGTTGTAATAATTATAACTAATTTTATATTTCAAACATTATATCTTAATATATTACTTACAGAAAAGTTTGTGGATGCCACGGCATCAGCTTCGGGGTCCCCATCGCCACCATTAGCCGAGTACGAGCGCGACTCTCCTGTGGATGTCTCCTCTACATCAGAGGCTGGCTCGGCGAGCGGCGCACCGAGCGGCTCGCGAGCTCTATCCCCTCCTCCACGAAATCCCCAACTGATAGAACGTTGGTCCAGTGAGGATATGCGGCATATACAGTGCCATCTCGAGACTAAGGAACTATGGGATAAATTTAATGAACTAGGAACAGAAATGATTATCACGAAAACTGGAAGGTATTTAAACTTTTCTTTAATCTACTGGCTTTATTTTTAAAACATTTTTTGAGTCGTTTTATTGTTAATTTATATGTAATTGTAAATCCTGGTGATTGATTGAAATAATTATCACACTCTCCACTACAGAATTCGATTTATGTAGATATATTTTCATAAATCAGATATCTAAATTATCTTAGCTACAGATTTTCATAAGTTAACAATGAATGTGAAAAATGAATGTTTTTATTTTCAATTGTCATTTATAAGACGTTTATAGGAAGTACATGTCTTTATGTAGTTACATCATAAATAAAACTATCTTTTCGGGTTTTTTCTCGGATTTATTTTGTTTTTTGGTTCCCGATGTTTCGAATGCTTTACAGCAATCATGGTCTCGGGAAAGACTGAACCGACTTTCATTTAAAATGTCAAATATTCGCGTAAATCTAAGAAAGTACCTATTAGATAGGTACATCATTTTGAAAGATCTTAACTTTCGCTTCGGTTCCCATTTATATGTAATAAATTTAATTTTTTGTGGAAGTAGTTTAAGAGATGTGAAAAAATACAATTTTGAAAAAAGGCCCTTAAACTTTTTTACAACTAAGAGGTTTTTACCAGATTTTTATTATAATTATTTAACTTACAATTAATTTTAATTCATTCTCCTTAACTCATATTTAGAATGTATAATGTATATCCATACTAATATTATAAATGTGAAAATGTGTTTGTTTTTTTGTCCTTCTTTCACGTCATTCTTTGGCGTATTTTTTTGTGTGGAGGTAGTTGAAGGGCTGGATAGTGACATGGGCTTATTTTTACCGCGGAATATTATCTTATTCCCACGAGAAAATACGTTATAATACAACCCACAACAACTCATTATAGATATGTATATATATAACATATTATATAGTCTATCCATTCCATTCTAAACGTTAAACCGTACCTAAGGACGAACCCGAGCGAAGCAAGGGTTAGTCGCTAGTCTTAAGTATTTTTAAAATAAATCTTATTAACAACTCTATCTGACTTTACCTAGGATGTGTTCAAGTAAGAATTGCGTCGATTTGTGTACCAACTTACGTCATGAGTCTTAAAAATCTCGGTGGTAGGTAATTGAAATTATTGTTTGTTAAACGAAATCAATGCTATATCGTGGCGTTGATGCCGATAAGGTAGGTGGCACACGACGCGACGGCGCGAGGCGTATCGGTCGCGCCTCGCGATAGAACAATGGGTAATCGCGAGACCAACCGCCGCTTACCAAAACGTACATGAAATGCCACTAGGGCTAATTGCTTATTCAAAAAATCGCTGTTACTGTTTAATTACACGTAAATAATATTAGTCGCAAAAAACAAAATATTAATATTTTATATTATACTTACTAGTTAGTGGTTTACCCTCCCTAGGTGGCTTTTCTATTTATTAGATCATGTTCAGGCTGCGCCGCTTTTTGGCATGTTTCATTACTAACAGTAGTCTATTTGTATACTAAATTTTATACAAATGTGTCGTCGTCGTAAAAAACAAACATACACACAAATGTACATATATAAAATTTTCGTATTCTAATTTACATAAATTTAGATTTTATTCAATTTTAATATTTGCATGTCTTTTATTTTAATTATTAAGTGGAGTAGAGCAGGTCTGCTGAATAAAGCTCATTCGAACTTGCCCGAAATTTACCAATACATAAAACTGTTATTTCGAATGTTGGCGCTCAGCAGGGACCCACTAGGCCCAGCTCTCTTTGGTCTAGGTATCTATTAATATATTTTATATCTACAGTCTAAATTAAATATTTGGTACGTAGACGGTGGAACTATAGGTGGCAAAACGAATGATTTCCTTAAAGATTTTCTTCTTTTGAAAGAAAATTTTAATAAAATTGGTTTGGAACTAAATGAATCTAGAAATGTGATTTTTTCACGGACAATATTTCTTTGTCAAGACACATTTTCCGAAAAATCCCTCGCATGTTAAAATAGTCGATAAAGATTCCTTTTTTTCTCCTTGGTCCTCCACTTCTTGACGAAAACATGCCATTAGTAGTAGAGGAAAAAAATAAAACATTTTTAGATAATACTTAGGTACAAATTGGGCTCTAAATTCTCACATTGCCTACACCATCCTTAAATATTGCCTTTTCGTTCCAAAATTAACGTATATTCTTCGTTCAAGACCAATTTGTACATGGACATGACTTGTACAGTAATAATTAAGTGTAAATTGGTTTTGTATATATAATTAATATGTATATTTATAATATTCTTTATTGTCAATAAAATATTAAGATTAAATACTTTAAAAAATAAGTTAAGCTGTTGACAATTACTTTGAATTATAAACGAGTCATATAGGTATTGTATTGCGCTTTAACTGAGATACATCTCAGTAAAATAATAGTTATTAGCAAAATCGTGCGTCGAAGTTATCACGTGACATAAATCAGCGCGACATTTCGCCGATCGTGACAAATTCACTAACGCAATCTTTTGATAACGTCCGAGACTGACTTCATTTATCCGGAAAAAATAACGTCATAATTTTGCAAATAAATTTATCATTATAGTCAATTTTCAATTCAATGAATTAAATACTAATTGCATGTTGAATTAGATATATTTAAACAAGCATTGCCCGCGGCTCCGCCCGTATTCAGATGACCAAAAACCAAATTCTTAGGTTTTACATACACGGGTAAAACCCGGATAATCGCCTCAGTTGGATACATGCCCCGGTTTTCAATACGCTATATTAGAGATGTCTTTGATGTTAGCGCTCTTCTGTAATTTATAGGGCCTCTTCCACAGACCTTAGGACGATGCCAGTAGTGGAACTAGGTAAACATGTTTTGTCTGTCTGAGCGAAAATCTTCCGCGGCAGGACGTTAACGAGCGTTGAAATTATATTCGTGTGTATTTTCTATTGAATATTTTTTTTTACAGTTGTCGATTCATTTAACTTTTTGCTTCTACGCGTGTACTGAAGCTTAAGTTACACTACCTATTACCTTAAACTGTCGAATAACTTTTATTTATTTTTCAAAATATAAGGGCAAGTATCCGTACCGAAAAGGATAGTCGCCCCACATAATTGTGCGGATAGTCGCCCTAAGGACAATTAGTGTTGTAGGTAGGCGAAATGCCTCGCGAAATGCAAATATGGGTAAGAGCTTAGCATGTCTAAAAGGGCTAAAAAATCTGCAGAAGTTTTAAATTTCAACGAAAAAATTGTCTAAAAACAGGATAAAAAAGAAGAAACAAACATTACAAAAAGAACTAGAATGGAGACAACGAAATAAAAAGATTTTAAGATAGTAAAAAATAAATCAGATGATAGTGAGATGATAATTATGAAGAAAAGAGGTCGAAACGTAAGTAAAAAATCAAAAAATATGACGATTTCTCTCGCAGTGAAACAGAATTTGCAAACATAGATTTTATTAAACTGAGCGGAGAAAGAGCTTTAAGGATGACAAATAAAAAACTTATAGTTCCGAGAGTGAAAATGAAAAAAGCATTATAAATACAAAAACAGCCAAAGAAAAAGCTACTAAACGAGTACAAAAAACGAAGTAAGAAATTAAAGATGATAAAAGAGACTGAAAAGACAGTAAAAGTTATTAACATTAATACTAAATAGGAAAAGCGAATGATAAAGTTTCAGTTGATGATTATTGTAAATGTTTTGAAAATTACAATACTAAATCCAAATTATACTGGATTGTATTTCCAGGAAACTTGTTCATCATTCAAAGGAAATTGTATGAGATGTGGAAAATTAAAAGACTTATATATTATAGATTATGACTTCGTAATTGATGATGATATTTAAATTGGTGATATACCTATAATAACCTACCCACTAATTTTAATATTTGTGTCAAAGTTGATTGCCATATTGTATTTATCTTTAAAGTTAATTATTATTAATAACGTACATTTTGGAGATTTTATTTGTATTTTAAAAGTTGTATTGATTTCGATTAGTAAATACCTACTACTTAATTAATTGATGTTAATAATTAATAATATTTGATTAAACTTACATAATTTTGTTTTAATCCAAAAAAAATTGCAACAATTTCATGATGACCTTCTATCCCCGCATGAGGCAAGTATCCCCCAAAGCATTTTTAACACAAGGCAACTATCCGCCACAGAAGGCAACTATCCCCTTTTGTAGAGGTCAAATAAAACAGGATTTACTGAAAAACAATATTGATTGTGTTTAAAAAAATATGTCACATTGAAAGATTAAAGTCCAATGTTTTATTATATACGGGGCCTATTGTAAGTAGATACTTATTTTTTATGTAATTGGAGATTTTCAAAAAGTGGGGCAACTATCCGGCTTTTATCCTATTAGTGTACTCTTACAATGCATTTTTTGTATTTTTTCTCAGAAATGAGATATTTTCCCGCGGTAAAAAGTATCCTATATGTTGACCCGGATAACCAGCTATCACCATACCAAATTTCATCAAAATCTGTCCAGTGGTTTTCTCGTGATGCGGTAACAGACAGACAGACAGAAAAAAATCTAAAAACTATAGATTCGGACTCTGTATCGATAATAGCGTCTATTTCAATTAGATTTTCCAAAAAATATTTATTGTACAGAATCGACTTAGTTACAATTTTATTAGATTTTTTAGTTCCTTGTCTACCTATAATATTGATCCATTTTATAAATAGCATCAATTGTAAAGTATGAAACAAGCAAAAGCTTTCATGGACGATAAAACTATATTAATACCTCACTTATTTATTCCTTATAATGTTCTCGAGTTAACGACGCTGGGCATTCAGTTTTTTCTTCCATGCACCATAAAATACAACATTCGGAAACATTCTACTTGTATTTATTTTCAAACTAAGCAGTGCATCACAATCACAATGCACGTTTAATGTTGTGTTGATTCGTAATAACTCCGAAGAACTAGTATTGTCGAGCCACTCAAAATTATAATCAATAATTATATTTACCTTAAAGCCTAC